CTGTGGGTGTGTGGAGGTATGTGTGTGTTTACCAAGTATCAGCTGTGCTGCAATAAACCAGCTGCTAGATTCCCCATATGAGAAGACTCTGTAGCAGTGTTTCCCAAACTTTTCCTCAGTATGACCTCATTTTAGGGTGACCATCATAGAGGACATTCTGGTTTTCTGCTACTCTGTCCTCTATTGATACGAAACCCAATGCCTTTATGTCCTCTATTTTTCTCTTTAAGAGAAAAACAGAGGACATAAAGGTGTTGGGTTTCATATCCGTAGAAGACAGAGGACAACCAGACTGTCCTCTGTGATGGCCACCCTACTATGACTCCGTTTCCTCAACATGGCCCCCTCAGTCCCAACCCACAGCCCTCCACAAACCCAGGTGCCCTTCACTTCCAGCCCCCAGCCCTCCCAGCAGCACCTGAGCCCCAGCTGCCACCCACAGGAGGTAGCAGCTGTTGTGGCCAGAGCAGAATGCAGAGTCCAGCTCCCCTCTGTCCCCTCTGTGGGCAGCAGTGCTGGTGTGGAGCCCATGGCTGGGGGGAGGATGCAGGCTGCTTGCTTCAGGCTTGGGGCTCCCTGCCCTGCTGTCCTCCCCTTGGGGGCTCTGCGGCCCAGTGGACACAGGAGGGAGGGAGCATTGCGCTGCCAAGCTGAGGTGCCCCCTGCTCACCCGGCAGCAATGTGGGCACAACTCTGTGCCATCACCGCTGCTGTGTCTCATCCTGGTGGATGCAGTACTCCCTTCCACAATGGGCCCTACCCGTTAGGCCACAGAGGCGGCTTCTGCCCCAAAGCAGGTCCAGCCTGGCTGCAACCCCACTGTGGGCACAGAAATCTCAGGGGGCATGTTTATCATGACCCCATCCACTGCTGTTTTGACCCCATTTGGAGACCGCTGCTCTGTAGTATGGTAGGTGTTCACTGAGACTCATTTTTGTAGGTACCCCACCCACCCCAGTTGTGCTGTGTGCACTTGCTTGGGCAGCAGTGGGCGTGCTTCCTTACCTGATATGTTCAGCAGTAGCAAAGCAATTTTGGAAGTAGAGAGATGATGAACCTTTGAACGTGAATGTGTACATAAGTCCTATAACATTTCCAGTTGAACATACATAAAATTAGTGTATCTTTTAAAGATGATAAAATAGAATATATAGAAATAATGGCTATGTAAGACGGCCTTTTTTCTGTGTGTCCCAGCCTTTCTCTTGGTTCATTCTGCCTTTTGAACCCTTCTCTCCTCCAAAAATCCCCTTCTGCTCACTAAAAACATTAAAAAGCCCAGATAACAGCAACATTGTCTGTTTAGTTCTACACAGGACAAGCTAGTTCCAATATCCTGCTTTGCAGTCATGCTTATAAGTCTCTGAACAGATTGGAAATAGATGGGGAGGAGGGAGAGAGCATGTTAAAACAGACTGTGTTTACATGTGAATATTAATGTGACGCAATAAACTTTGGTGTAGTTCATACTGGAGTTTATTGCTCCAGGGCACAGTGTTTACACATGTGCCTGGGACTGCAGCACATTGAGCTGGGGTGGCACAGTCCCAGCTGGCTGGATTCCAAGAGGGTCAGCCTGCCAGCCTAGGGCTGCTCTGACCTTGCTCAGCGTGCTGCAGAGGGGCTGGCTGGGGCACAAGGGTGGGGCACAAGGGTGCTACAGTGTGGGGCTAGCCAGCAGGAACCCCCCACACTGGAACCTCATACCCCAGCCAGCCCGGTCAGCATTTACGCATGCATTGTGGTGGGGTACATAGCTCCTCCATAGGATAGTATTTGTATCTGGCAGTACTGACCTATGATGGAGTTAATTAGTTTACTCTGGCCTAATAGCTCTGGAGACGTTTTACTGCAGAGCTAATTAGTCTACTCCACAGTAAAGGTCTAATGTACATGCACCCACAGAATAATAAAATGGAGATCCACTCGAGTAGAGAATTTTGTCCTGTATAAATGTTTATTGACACTGTCCTATCTTTTGCTTATAATTCAAAGATTGGGGGGGAAACCAATTTTCATCATAGTTCACAGGTTTTAACTGAATCGGACAAAATTCACTGTCTGAGTACAACCATCCCTTGTTATCAGTCAGGTGCAACCATATCCTTTTGCTAAAGAATCTGGTAAATTTACTTAGTCTCCTAACACTGTCAAGAAGCCAGATATTTGAATGCACATATCTTGGCTCAGCACTAATACTGTTTCCTGAAGGCAAGCGGGGTGTAGGGGGGGAGACTGGAGATGATAGACTATATTTTAAAACATATTAATATGTATGATATCTTTAGGAAGCTATTTTATGTTGTAAAATGAGGAGAGGAAAAATAAAACCTATTTATTAATAGCCTTTCAGATTGGTGCAAAGCTTTGAAGATTAGCATATTCATCATAATGTCATATTGTGCAGAGACTTTAATTCTGTCAGGTTATAGGTGGCTCATAGAAATAAAGCAAATCTCTCTAATAATTTTTCTCATTCTCCCCAGGTTTTCAGAATAAAAATAGGGTTGCAATTTTGGCAGAACTAGACAAGGAAAAGAGAAAGTTACTTATGCAAAACCAGTCATCCACAAATCAGCCTGGAGCCAGGTACTTTATGTTCATATACCTCTTTGGACACTTCGTCTTAGATCAAAATATTTTTAAAGGTTAAATGTTCATATCTATGGATCACCCATAACAACAGAACAAAACATTTCTTAAAAGTGTGTACTTGAGACTCCTCAACCACTAGCATAAGAGTGACATTGCAAACCTTGTGATCATATTTGTTCATTTTCCTTGTGGATTTTAAATCTTGAGCTGCATTTTTCTATTTGAGAGAATTACACAAGCTTCAGGAGTCTTAAGTAAGCATCTTGTAAAGGAGAGCCAGGGAGCACGGGCCCAGAAAATGTTCAATTATTGAGCTAATCTGCTGTTTCTTGCTTTTCAAGAGCACCCTTTTAAAGTTAGATAGAAAAACACAGAAGTAGGTAGTCTGTTATGATTAAGAATATTCGAAAAATATTCACAGAACAGTTATAGCTGAACAATATAGGCATATTACAGAACATGCCTGATCCCCTCTGGAACTGCCTTGTTAGAAAAAGCTAAGGCCAGTTTTTTATGTTGGAAAAGACTAGTGATTACAAAACCCTGCAGTTTTTTTATCTAGAGACGACTCTGTACCATAAACTAGTCCTGCCCAGTTTGCATTGTGGTCATGGGGGTGAGCTTCCACTAGGGGAAAGTAAAGAGATGGATCTTAGTTTAAAATAGTAACTGAAAAATCAGGCATTAAGTTAAGAAATAAATCTGGTCTGCCTTGCTCATCCTGGCCACCAAGAGCAAGAACAAGGTGTCATGCCATATTGTGGCTATAACAATATTCTCAGCAAGGGTCATAGTCTACAAAAGGTCTAGATCTTACAGTCTGTAAAAAGAACATTATGAAGAGCCTTTGCTTCAGTAAAGAGCTAAACAAACTGCTTATTCTGTCTTTTGAGAGGCATTCAACATACTGGGGCTAGGGACAGAAATTACATGTAAACCAATGAGTGATTGGAAACTGGTTCAAATATATAACACAACAGAAGTTCAGTGCACATAATCTACTTCAAAATGGCTGAAACTGGTTTAAAATAAGCCTGGATGGACATAGTATCAGACCTAACTGATTTAAGTTAAATTGGTTTATTGAACTTCTGTGCCAGATCCCCTACAGGTTCAAGTTAACTCAGTCCCCCAATATCAGGGTGGTTAAAAATCAACATTTTAAAAAATATATATTTTTAAAAATCAGGGGGTTTTCTTTTAAAAAAATTTAAATTGGATTTTTTAACTTTAAATTAGATTTTTTTATAAGATGCTTTTTTGAAAAAAATAAACTTGTATAAAGATAGTTTAAATTTAATATATGTTAAAGCTCAAAGATCTCATCATGGGATAGGGATAATAACTTCTAATTACATACTATTTGAGACAATATATTCATGTAACCTTTTTAGAAGTTTTATAAATAGGTCACAGCAGGGCTGGACTATGTTAGGGTCCCAATCTTATGGGTTTCCCAGAGGCTCTTATATAGATTAGTAAAGATTAAAGAAATTCATTCTACCCATTGGGACTCAGTGCTCAGTCTAGAAGATCCCATTAAGCATCTCTGATGCTTGGTTTCAGTTCTCAAGTTCTGGATTTGTGTCTCCAGAGATTATAGGCAGCCAAGGTTCTTTGGGTAGATGCGATGTCTTTTATTAGACCAGCTAAATTATTGGAAAAAGTGTTCTTTGCCAGCTTTTGGGCACAAATGCCCTTCTTCAGGCATAAGGAGAATTTGTTGTCTCTAGAGATAACAACCTTGTTAACAGGAGTATATGGAGCTGAGAGATAATGGACCTGATGATTAGCCCTACTGTCTCTCTCTGCAAGTTTGTGTACAGACAGTCAAGCCCTTACCTTTCTCTAAAAGTGCAGTTTCAAGAAGTTAAATGCATGAAGGATATCAATCAACAAGAATGCACTTTTTGTATGATTAAAATCAAGGCATCTTGACCAGATATTTAAATCATGTGGCCGCATTTCTGGAATCAAAAGTAAATAAATGTCTATTCACTTGCTTATCATTTCAATCTATGCAATTTAGACTAACCTGCAAAGATTGAATCGATTCAGCCTTGGGCTTTTGACTATCCTTAGCCTAAAAGTCACAATGTTAAAAGGCTTTTTGGACTTGGTTCCACTTATATTTTCATAACTGACTTCAAACCCAATATTGTTTAAAATAAATACTTTTCACGGAAGGAGAAATAGAAGCATTCAGACTAATTTGTGCAGTCCTTGATTTCTCGTGACAGCATTGCCTGTTCTCATGGTTCTTGTGGGTGATTTCTACCCCTTCCCCTCCAATCTTTTATAGATTCAGCTCCAGGACAGTCCAGCTTTTAAAAACCAGAAGCAAGTATGTAGCTCTGAAGCTTGCAAAGAGGGGAAAGGGAAGGAAGGGAAAAGGGGGGAAAACCAGGAAAATCTCAATCCAGTTTAGCCTAAAGTCTCAAAAAAAAAATACAAGGCAGAGTGTGAAAAAATACCAACTCTAAGCCACTGTCTTAAGTGGCATCTGACTCATGAGTTTTGAATATTCGTGGTTGGCAGTATTATTACCAACATTGCAATACCTATTGTACCACAGTTCTGGCATCATTATGCATAAAGAATTTAAGCCCATGTGACATTTTGTTAAATTGCCAGAAAAGCTTAAATCAAGACAAAGTGTGAAGGTAGCTAGGATGCTAATAGCAAAGGCTTTGACTACTTAAAATCTGAAAAGATTTCATTCATCTCCACTCTTGTCATATGAGTCTTAGGCTTGAGGACACAGGAACTCTACTAAATGTAAACTTAAGACATTTGTGCAGGTCTGAAGTTTATTTTAAAATGTCTATTTGGAGAAGTTTACTTTGCAATACATTATTAAATAGAAGAAAAACATTCAAGTGAAAAGTATACTATAGGAAGAGTTAAAGAAACTGGAATATAGACCTCTTCAGCAGCACTGAAGTTTTAAATTAGTATGTGTTATAAACCCTTCTGTTCAGAGTCTGATTGTTTAGCTTGAGTATTCATTTGAGCTAAAACTTGGCACAAGGTCCAATGATAAATACTACTGCTTTTGAAAACCTGACCTGTTCTCCATTATGTAAAGCTGCTCAGCTCCCAGCAACTAACGTTATTTTATGGGAAATGGGCAGATTTGGAGCAAATTTCCATTTTGAGCAGAATTGGACTCCAAACTGCTTTGTCTTTGGGTTTGTTGTAGTTTTTTTGGGGGTGGGGGAGCAGGTTCTAGGCAACGATTAAAGATCAGCACTCCTAATAATATGTCACAATAAAGCTAAAAAAGCTAAAGTGGCTTCTCTTCATTGTCTGACTTTACCTTAGGATTGTTCATATATATGGGTTACTTTCAAGTTTAAAAAAATGCAGCTCTTTTAGCAGTGAAGACAAACCCTACAAAAGCCTTACATAAATGTAATATTGTTTGAATTGAAACCAAGAATATTTGTTGTATATCGCTATATAAATGAAAGCAATTTTATGGACTGCAGCTATCAGCACTGTCAAAGATTCTTCACTTGAATTTTGTATAAATAAGAAACACTTTATGCAACAGATTGTACAGTTCTTCAGCCAAACATGAGACGTTCTTCTGATGAAGACTGTGGATCCATTCTTAGGGCTGCTACTTTGCCATAGATGCGTTAAGATACAGGGTGGTAATGGTGACAAAAGTTGTCATTAAACAGTGTCAGTGGAGTTACACCAATAGAATGAAAATGAATGAGGTAAAAAAAAACAACATTAAGCTGTAGGCCTCTTAGATTTCTGGCTTCAGCTTGGCATCACTTGTTCTCAATTGAAAACTTTAGCTAAAGTCACCACATTCTCATTTGTATATAAAAACAATTCTAAAACATTAATTAAGGGGTTTAAAATAAATCATCTGAATCTGACTGACAGAAGTAAGTTGAGTTTTTGGATAATGCATTGTACTTTTTTTCCCCCCAGCATTGCACTTGCAAGGCCTTCCCTGAATAAGGATTTCCGTGACCATGCTGAACAACAGCACATAGCAGCACAGCAAAAGGCTGCATTACAGGTAAGCTGTTGTAGTTCAAGTGTACTCAAATTACAGTATTTACCTGAATACAAGACGAGGTACCCTTCCTCCAGTTGTCATGCTGGGGAAAAAGCCCCTCACCTTATAATCAAGTGCATACAAGGAAATCTCACTAAATACATTGTCTCTCATTAAACTGTTGCCAAAAGCAGCACATGCTCAGCAATAGAAACCAACTATGAAGTTAATTAAATGCAGCCAATGCAGTGCATGACTATAAAACACATGGCACACATTGCTGATGGGAACTTAGAGTAGGTAAGTCTAGCCTATCTGAATAAAACATATGGTAGTGTCCATTAAATGCAGTCCCCTTCACCACCAACTCTTTCAAGTCATAGTGAGCCACAATATTGCATACTGTTTACCCAGAATTCCTCTGTCATCCCTTCTCTCACCCTGGCATATATGATTAATGTGGACCTGCCCTCCATGAGATGGACCTGGACCAGGTTGCTCTGCACCTCATCTGTACTTAAATTTTTGGAGGATCCCAGGTCTTGTGACAAGGAGACCTGATTCCAGTCATGAGTAGGTGCTAATTAGCACATGGATCCTTTGTTGAAGTATCTGGAGTACACACACACACACAAACAGAGCAGTGCTGAGCTGTGGGGTAACCATGGCTTGACATGCTATTGACTCTGGTGGGGCTCAGCCCAATGACCCATATGGTAAATCCCAAGCCTTTAGCTGAGGACTAATATTGTGCATGGTTTGTACTACATATAAGTAGGTGGCAGACAGCTGTTTAAAAGTGCGTTTATGGAGTACATGTGATCAAACTTGCAACAGTTTAAAAAAAAAGTTAGCTGTATCAATTCTTGATGAACTAAGTGCATGGGTACTAAGGGGAAGGAGCTACCAGGGAAAAAAGCTGGGGGGATACAGAAAACAAAGAGCTACTTGACCCCTTCCCCAGATATATTTTCCATGCTGTAGCAGTGGAAGGGGGGCAAATTCAAGGCAAACCTCCAATAATCATATTCTATACCTGGAAAGTTATAATAAGTTAATTCTATGAGTAAATGTAGTAAGTGTGTCCTCCTCAATTTTGTTTTACCTTTGCTTTAACTCTTTCAGAGAACAACCTTGCACTGCTGGGGGGGTGTAAAAATATCTGTTGATGGGTTCCTTTTTAAACTTTTTGCTGTACATAGCCAAAGTGAAATTTCAACCCTTCCTGTACAAGCCAAAATGTCTTTAATTCCTTAATTCTCTGATACAGTGTCAATGTAGGTGTCCCTTCAATCTTTGTGATGGTTACATTGAAACTAACTCTTATCCAAAAGGTGTACAGGCCCATCAGTACATGGCTAATGATCTAACCTGTTAACCACAGTGGCTATGGTTATTTACCATTTTTTGGCCTGTCTTGGTACTGTCATAGATAACCTACTCTCCTGAGAGGTGACTGAGGAAACAGTGTGACATACTCAGGTATAAAATGTATGGCTTGTATTTGTTAGCTGTTACAGTTTTAAATATCTTGCCTTCACCAATGAATGACTGAGCATTGTTTTGATTAGAAGGTTTTGAACTCTAAACAGTCAAGCGTCCTCAAGCCCAGGAGAAACAGAAGTGTATGAAATTGCTGAAACATTTTTGCAAAAAAGTACTTTTATAGCAGTTTGTTTTATCTGATTTTTTTTTTTTTTTTCTTTCCCTTCTTTCTACTTCTCTCCAGTTACGCTGATTATGGGAAGCTATGGACAGTTTTTTCTGTACAGGTTTTCCTCACTTTATGCTGTACATGCGTTCCTGGAAAATGGGACATAACTCGAATTTGCATAAAGGGAGCCTGTTTTACAATGTAACAAATAGGGATACGTTCCAAGACTTTGTACTGACCCCCAGACCCATTTCTGTCACATTTCTGGCCCCGCACCAGCTGCACAGTTCAAAATCCCCAGTTCTCTCCAGTGTTAGTGAAGTTCTCTTATGCTTCATTGATGGACCAGGGAGAGGGGTAGGACATAAGGTACCAGGATGCTTAAAAGCCACAATGGGGATGGCAACTATAGAAACATGTGTTGCAGACAATGAGCAAGGAGCACAGATCCACACAGGAGACTATATTTTGGTGCGCGTAACTCCCACAACGCACCACACCAAGCAGCTGACTGCAGGCTTCCACCACACCAATTGCATAAGAGTGAATTTACCTCACATATAACAGATTTTTGGTATAAAAAGGGTCATTGCATAAGAGTGAATTTGCACATACAGAACCTGCATAAAGCGAGGGAAACCTGTATTGTTCAAAAGAAGGAACGTGCCCCTCATCCCATCCTTCTGTTGGTGGCCCTGAAAAGGAATCAGCTCAGTATTTACCCATCTTAGGGAGAATCTCCCTCTTGTGGACTGTGACCAAGAATGACTAGCTGTCATTGGAAAGGAAAAGGAACTAGTTCTGTGGAAACAAAGACTGTCAAACCTCATGGGAACCCACAGTGCCTGGAGAGGCCATCCATACAGCAGGCAATACCATATTGCACCTGTGGGAGCTATGTATTAGAACAGACCTGAGTTAGACTCTAAGATTGAAGGCTCCACACTGAGACCTAACAAAGAATCCCTCATTCCTATGGGATTAAAAATCTGTTGTGGAAGTGTAGATCCAAGTACCAGAGGTGAACCCAGGCACTCAGACTGTATCCCCAAGGAAGGTCTCCCTCACAATGATTCCATCTAGAGTTCTAGAGTGGCAACTATTGCAACAGAAGTCTCAAATGCAAGCAGACACATAATTCACCTTGTCATTTGGCACATCACGTATGCTTCTGGAGCTCTGGAATCAAATCTCCTTTCTAACTCGGGTCTACTCTAATACATGTGACACAGCTGTACTAGAAATCCTTACAGACTGCACTGACTGAAGGGTGGAATGGGTACCCTGCTGAAGTGGTATAGCAGGGAAAACCTGTGAACATCTTAGCTCAAAATTAAATGCACTGAACTCTGTTTTATTAATGGTTGGTGTGGCAGGACACTGTTGGTGCCTGCCACTTTAAGGACTCAGACAAGCAGGTACTTGATTGTGGTGGCCATTTTAGCTCTCTGGCCGCCCATATAAACAGAGCAGTTTGCTGCTGGAAGGCCAGGCAGTAACATTGCCTGGCTGCAAGGCTGCTTGGAACATCCTGGAGGTAAGGGAAGGGAACTATTGGGGATGGTTTGGAGGCTTCTGGTCCTGGGCATGACCTAAAACTGCACCCTGCTGGGAGTGGGTGGCCTGGTGGGGCTCTCAGTGGTGCGGAAGCCTCCATGAAATACCAAGCCAGTTACCACCCCTGGTGAAAGGCGGGTCAGGGCACCTTAATAACCCCCAGCTCCCACAACTGGGTGGGTTACCCCCTTGTAGGGTCCGGAAGGTGGACCCCGGAGAGAGAGTGGGGCTGTAGACTCAGAAACCTGTCTTGAAATTCCCCGACTGGTCAGTGGTGGGGCCAGGACCAGAAGGGTCAAAGGGCCAGGGGCCTACTGCAAGGGACACCCAGAGCTGAGGGCCTGGGGTTCCGACTGGCTTGGAGGTGAGGCCAGAGCCTGTGTAGCCAAAGGTCCCGGGGGGACCACACCCATAAGGGGGAACAGCTCAGGGAGCTAGGTAGCCCAAAATGAAGGCAGAGTAGGCCACTTACTTGGAGGAGTCCAGATTGGAGGATTCTAGGGCCCAGTGTGGGGCCAGTGATGTTAACAACTATAGATGCCATCTGCGAGCCTTGGGCTGTGGTGTAAGGGAGGAACAGAGCCGCAGATAGCACCCCCTGGCATTGGGGCAAGAAATGGGCAGCCTCCTGCCTAATTAACAACTTAATTTGATAACAGCAAGGCATGGCAGGACAGAAGTCAGGCGGTTGGCCCAGAACAGGTGGGTGGGGCATTGGTAGATCAGCCCCAGAGAAGGCCCCCTATTACAGTTGGTAAGTGCCAGGAGAGCACGAAAATGTAACATGCTTTAAATTTGGAAAAATCATGTTATGCAAGTCCTTTCTTTTTACCAATTCCCTCAGTAATTCCAGGATTCAGCTTTATCCATTTGCTTCTGAGTCAGGTTCTTCAACAGATAAGGATTCTTGGTGCTGTTTGCATCTGATGCAGAGCTGAATGCCTGAATATTTTGGGAAGAACAAACAGGCAAAAAATAGTTTCAGTCCATTACCTTAAAGCACTGGCAACATGGGTTTTGAAGTCTTCCAAAACAATAAGGCTTGAGGACATCAATCTTGGTCACAGTCCACAAGAGGGCAATTCCCCCTAAGACAACTGTAGGAGGACCGAGTTCTAGGGGCAGGCATGGTGCCTGTTGGTGACCTCAGGACTCCTACCTTTCTCTGCCTCACCAGGCAGCCTCCCTTTCTCACTCTTGCCTGCCACAGCTTGTTATTATCTGGAGTAAGGGAAGCTGCCCCAGGGCCCCAGAGCGAGCCTTCATTTTCTGGTCTACAGGCTCCTTATGAACCCCACCTGCCTCTGTTCTGCCCTCAGACACTAATCCTGACCCTCCTACTCATTCCATGCCTTCCAGGACGCTAATTGCCTCAATAGCTATTCATGGCTTTGGACGTCCCCACAGCCGTGCCCATGCCTCACAAGTGTTCTTGGCCATCACTCGTGTGGGACACTTTGATCTAAGACAGTTCTAAGCCACTTCAGTTCTTTATACCCTTGTTGGGGCCATGACCTTCTTGACCTCTGCCTCAGTTCTCTAGGTAGGCCTTTTCACCTAGGCCTACTACCCTGGACCTAGCTTCTTGTCTCCAGTTGTAGTCTTGCCCTCTTGGGTTTTGGTTTTGCCCCTGTTGGACCCTGGCCTAGGTTCCGCCCCTTTCAGGCTTGCGCTCCAGCTCTCCCTTGGCCTCAGACCTGCTATTGCCCACTTGCATCTTTTGCCGTATCCCTGCAGATCTCACATGCCCCGCTGACAATAAATTGCAGGGCACCTGACCTCAGCCTCCTCACTACCTCTTTGTAGGCCA